CTGTGAAAAGAAGTGTGACACTTCAGTTCCTTCATTACTTCTAGAAGTTAATATGCATGATGACTGATGCACATTCATGCATTCAGGAGGAATAATACAAAAGCAGGGCTGTTACTTCAAGAAACTACATTTTCCCTTCTGAACTGTCACTGAATAAACATACTGACTTCATACCTGGGGAACATCATTCAGCTACAACTTCCAGTTTTTCAGTTAGGTAACAACACAGCACAAGGTTTAGCTATTGGTAGTTAGAAGAGACCTATTGAGGCTGCCCAGGGCACAGTCTATTAGCCTCTGTTCTCTAGACACAATGGAAGTGGAGAATTCGTATTGTGTCTGCTGGGCTACCAAATTCATCTACAAGCCATACCCCACCTAAAACTGGCAGGAATTAAGAACAGGTGACTGTAAGACAATTACTGTAGAGCTCAACTTGTATAAAAAGTACTGTTCATGTCTAAAGCAGACATACTGTATCTACCAAGGACAAAAAGAAGCTGGGTACATAGAAAATGAGTTCCCAAAAAGTAGAAAACATTTTTGTTTGCTTCCTGTTGCAAGACTTATGTATTGTCACTCTACAGCATTCAGCAGTCTCAAGATACCTACCAAGAAGTTTTTGCTGAATTGTAGACTACACACAACTACTTTAATTAACTATGAATCATAATCTTTGGTTTGTAGAGGGCCTGACTGAAAATCTTTTGGACATTTCCAATGACTTGATGTGGAGTTATAAGAAGGCTTTAGAGAAGGATTTTGTATAGCAGTGTAAGTAGGTGCAATGAGTCCTAACTTGTTTGTTAATTAAGAATAAAAGTTATATCCTACATTTTTAAAGAATGGTCTAATTTAGAATTCTGAGTTGAACCTCTCTTATCTGGTATGTAGTTCTCAGTTGAAGAAAGTTCCAGTGAAGATGACCACAGTGAGTGTAAATCAGTAAAAAGGGATGAAAAATAAAGAAGAGTAGGTCGGGCTGACAGTGAATGTCATATTATATATATATATGTAAATATTAAGAGTAGTAAGAAACAATTATTTAAATAGGAAAATAATTTAAGTAGTGAGAAATAATTCTTTAAATAGAACAAAAATGTACTAAATCATAATAGAGGTGAAACTGTTAATTATATGCAAAAAATGGCTGAAATATTCAAAACAGAATATATTTTGTTTTTTAGAAGAAGCAGGATAATGTATTCCAGTCTTACAGTGATAGCAAAATACCTTTTCATGCATCTGTATCTAGGAAGGATATAAATATCAAATATACTTCTAATAATTCACTATAATATTCACATTACAAAACAAAAAAATCAGAAGTTAGTTTATCACAAGGTAGAGATTTCCTCTGAAGTTTCATTACTGTATATCATCATCTTGAATAGCATCAAACATTGCTGAGTGCTGCTATTTTTAGCCACCTTGAGTAGTACCTTCCTTTTCTCTTAATCCTATTGACGTTTACTTGAATGTTTATGGAGTAAGTCGCTCTCTGGTGTGCACAGCGATTCCAAGATGTACATAGCAGGTAGTTTGGAGTGAGATATGAGCAATGCTTTATTTTTCTGGTCCCATTCTTGCTCCTTAGCTGAGATAAGAGAAATCTCCTTCCCCATGCACATCTGACTCACTGATGGGCCCACCCTGAAATTCTGAAGTGCAATGAATCGCTCTCATTGCAGTTTCTGTTTTGATGTTCTCATGTAACCTTATGAAGTTGAACAAGGCCAAGTCTAAGATCTTGCACCTGGGTCAGGGCAATCCCTAGTATCAATAGAGACTGGAGGAAGAATTGGTTGACAATGGCCCTGCAGAAAAGGAGTTGAGGATACTGGTGGATGAAGAATTGGACATGAGCCGGCAATGTGTGCTTGCAGCTGAGAAAGCCAACCATAACTTGGGCTGCATCAAAAGAAGTGTGGCCAGAAGGTCGAGGGAGGTAATTCTTCCCTTCTAATCTCTGTTTTTGTGGTCAAGGGTGGTAATTCTTCCCCTCTACTCTCTGCTTTTCTGAGACCCCACCTGGAGTCCTGCATCCAGTTCTGGGACCCCCGGTACAAGAAAGACATGGACATGTTAGAGCAGGTTCAGAGGAGGGCCACGAAAATGATAGAGAGCTGGAACACCTCTCTTGTGGAGAAGGCTGAAAGAGTTGTGGTTGTTCAGCCTGGAGAGAAGAAGGCTCTGGGGAGTCTTGATTGCAGCCTTTTGGAGAGAGACATTTTACCAAGGCCTGTGGTGGCAGGACAAGGGGCAACAGTTTTAAACTGAAAGAAGGTAGGTTTAGACTAGATACAAGGAGAATATTTTTTATGATGAGAGTGGTGAGACACTGGACCAAGTTGCCCAGAGAAGTTGTGAATGCCCCATCGTTGGAAATGTTCAAGGTCAGGTTGGACAGGGCTCTTAGCAACCTAATCTAGCGAAAGATGCCCCTGCCCATGGCAGGGGGGTTGGACTAGATGATCGTTGAAGGTCCCTTCCAACCAAATCCATTTTATGGTGCTGGAACTATATGAGAGGACCAAATCAAAGTGCTATGAAGAACCTGAATTTGGGAACTGTAAAGAACTGGAGCTTTTAAAAAAAAAAAGATTACAGAAAAAGGTAATAGGAAAATTTGCCAAATCTGATTTTGAAGACAGACTGAACCAAGGTTAAAGTTTGATGGAGATACTCAGCATGGAAATTTCAGCTTAAATGCTTAGTTAGGGAAAATCTTAGTAGTGACTGAAAACAGTGTCACAGAATGATAAATCATTAGACAACCTTATCAGTACTCATCACATCCAGTTTCAACTACCAGATCAATCTCAACAGCCCTAATCATTCCCCTGGTTCTCCAGTGTTACCATCAGAGGAGCTTCAGAGGGAGAAGCACTTTAAAGGGTATCCTACAGTGATGGCAGTGTAATTTCTATTTTCAGAAAAAGATTGACATGCAACAACTTCAGTCCCATTTTTCTGGTAGTACACAGAGATGTGCAATGCAACTCTGATGCTGCTGCTCATTCAGTGAGTGCAGTTTAGCTGTTAGTTTACACAGTCATGGAAATTTCCAAAGGGGAAGATGCTAACAAAATAAGTACGCTTGCCTGAACATTGCAGGAACAGTATATGGTCCCAGATCTAGACTTGCTTACAGTGGTGCAATGCAACTAACTTTAGTGGAAAAGTAATTCTGAAATTAAGTCATTCAACAAAGAGCAGAATTTGTGTTTCATTTTTCTATTTGACATCATAGACTCAGCTCTTTTTTTAGTAACCCGTTTATTTCTATTCAAACTGGTTATATTCATCCACAGTTTTTAAGAATGACGATGTGTAGTTGTTTGGATTTCTGATAATTCTTCCTTCTGATTTAGAAATTTTTTTACCATCTATTTCTTATACATCTGGAATGTCTTTTTAACTTCAGAAATCTTTCTCACTATGCTCATGTGTTTTCTTCCCTAGTTTCTACATTTTTCACCAGCCATTGAAATACAATTGCCCATCCATTTGTCTTTGAAAAGACAACCTCCTAAACTGCAGGGAGCTGGTAGTCTCTTCTTCTTCTGGACAGAGATCCTGAGACATGGCTTAGGTAAAACTATTAGGAGCTTCCAAAAATTACAAGGGAGTTCTAAAAGCTGTCTCAGCTCTCAGCTCGCGAGGAACCCTCAGCTTCTTCTGTTTGTCCTCCTGCAGAACCAGCAGGAAAGGCTAAGGAGCCAAACCTGGCAGTGGGCCTGTAGCATCCTCTGTAATTTTGGTGGTGGGAAGTATTTTCTCGTACTGCTGTCCTAGATTCATGCTCTGGGTACATTTACATGTAATGCTTACTTTTTGAGATACTATTTCCAATTCTGTTTATCAGGACTGGAAACTAATCTGAGAAGGTCCAGGTCTACTTTTATTAGTAGAATACCTGCAGAGAGAAGAATCAGCTGTGTTCACTCCCTGAAGAGCTCCTTGCTCAGTGCATGCTTTCCTCTCACCCCAGTCTTTGCTGAAGCCTGTTCTGGCATTTCTGTAGTGTTGTGGGCAGGGTGAAAGCCAGATTAGTTATGTAGCAAAAACCAGACTAATCCTTGAGGGCTGAGTCTGCTTGGGCACGTATTAACGGACTGTGTGCAGAGCATGTTGCAGATGTGTGGGCAAGAAGACTGCAAAACACAATGCTGTCAATAAAGCTGCAGAACTTGAGGGCTTCAGTGTTTCTCAGGCTGCCTTTATCCAGAGCCACAGGGCTTCTGCGATTATTTTGCTCCTGCTTCCTCCTGAGGGACAGCTTTCTTTAAAGAAAATCAGGGATAAGAGAGAGGTAAGACCTGTCTGAAGAGACCAGAGGGATCAGTCTGCTGAACTTGATGCCTGAAGGTAGGGAATTCACAGTCAGGTACACAGTAGAGAGAGGCAACAATTCTTATTTGAGAATGACAGACAGGCACAGTCAAAAACTGTAGCAATAACATCGATTTGTAAATTCTCCCTATACCAGAAAGAGCTACCGCCTAATGAGGTTGTAGGCTCTTCACTGTTTTTTTACGGTTATGTTTTGCTTTTTCTAATTCTCTGCCTGATATACTTCTATAGAGGAATAAATAATAATTATTAATTATAATCATGTAGCACTATTCTTGCCCAACAGCAAACTCAGCCAGGATAGTGTCAAAGAAACCTGCAAGCAATTTCTCATTTTGGAAAATAGAGTTTTCTGTATTACTGCTATAGGAAAATATTGTCATATGTCAGCTGGTGGCATACACTGTTCTGGATGTAATGATCTTCTTTGGTTGTAATGGTGATGAATCACTATGCAATCGTGTATCAGGTTTTGACTGCACCTGTTTGCAAACTCAGGTAATTATGCTCCGTTGTCTAACTGCGTATTTTATGACTGTTTTGCTCACATGTTTCTAAGCAATGCTGTTTGATTGCAGATAAGTAATGGTAGGGATCTCTTCTCATTATCCTACTTTAACGTTTGATTTGTCTGATTGCTGCAGGTGGAAACAATCGGTGATGCATACTGCGTTGCAGCAGGTCTCCATAAGAAAAGCCTTAGTCATGCTAAAGCCATTGCCCTGATGGCACTGAAGATGATGGAGCTTTCAGAAGAGGTTCTCACTCCAGATGGGAGCCCTATTAAGGTAACCCCTTTGCTCTTTATTCTCAGCTACTCAGTGGTACATGGGCCTGATTCATTCCACCATGTTCTTTCAGTAGAAATTGTTTATTGCTAGGAGAGTTTAAAATAGCATTAATACATCACAGTCTTCTTTATGGACATACATTTCATTGCTGCCCATCAATAGTCACTTACGTTATGCCTTACTTTAGTGAACTCAGTAGCGGCTATCTGTCTCCTTGTCATATGCACTGAATGTCTGTTTGTGGCTGGAGGGCATTAGGTGCACTCCTGGAGTTCTTCTTCTAATTCACTTTAAGGTGAGAAGAAGACAGTTCACATGATCCAGGACTGTCCTGTGCTACAAGCCAAATCACGGTATGAGATGGCAAATGGGAAATTCGTTTTGGAAGTAGGCTCCCGATCTGAACTTCTGCACTAGTGTAGAGGCACTCAGAGAGTTCTGCGGCTCTAAAGGGTGACATGTCACTTTTCTAAATTGTTACTGACCTGTGTAAAAGAAGAATGTGTAGACTGCCTGCTCTTCCTCAGTGTTAGTGTGCTTCCTTCCCATGCAGCTCCAGTTCCTTCTCCTAGATTGATACAGGAGGGAGAAGGAGGTGGAAAACCACATGTTCTTTTGTACCATTTTAAAGTTCCACTGCTGTTCTGCTTCCGTGGATCTTATACCAACCTTGTACCTGCTGGCATTAGCAGTTGGCAATGTTTATGTAGAAGACGGAGATTCAGGAGGAAAGAAAAACCATGGAGATTATGTACTTGCCTTTCTTTTTCAAGGGCCAGAGCACACACTGTTTTCATTATGTGTACTCACTCCTGTTCCTGGTTAAATTGTTTCTTCCCATAATACAAACCCTTTGTTTTCAAAGAAAATGGGGGGATTATGTAGAACAATTATTCAACTGTCTAAAGCCTGTAACAAAAGCCATATGTAGCTCTATGAGAAGGCCAGACAGACCTTCCATGGGAAGGTTTGCATTATGGTGGAAATGCACTTCATAAACTGCAGTTGCTCATCTCTGTTAAAAAATGAGGGTTTCATCCAAAATGCTTCTTTTTAGAAAAATAAAATTTAAAGACCCTTTCTGAAGGTTTAAAACTTGACCAAATGAGGTAAAATTTTTAAAAATGTATTCAGCAATAAATTTATAGATTTTCTCTACCTATTACTTCGGTCATATCTTGAACTATATTCCTTGAAGTCTTTGTGTATGGTGAATGAAGAGAGATTTAATCCAAATCCATTCTGCCCAGAAAGGAGAATATGGATGCAAAGCAGCCAAGCTAGAAATTCCATGAAATATGGCAATACAATAGTCAAATGAAAATATATGGAGTTGTGGATGAAATATTTTTTTTAGGTATTGAGGCTGCTGGTGTATTTTTTTAAATGTCAAAATAAAATATTTATTTGATTATTGGAAAATGTCCACATGTTCAATACAATAACTTTCTGAAAAAATATCTTGGACTGCGGATTCTGAAGAAGATTTTTGTAAAGCTTCATGTGGATGTTCATTGAACACACAGTAAGCATTAAAAGACAAATGTTGTCTGAAAATATCAGAACACATAGCATTTTCGGTTTTGATAGAAGACTGTTTCAAACAGGTATTAATTTAATCCTATTAAAATATTTTTTCTAGAATGTTTGATGATTTCTCTACTTTTCTGATGACTATAGCTGAGTAATACATTCTAGGGAAATTTTGAAGGTGTATATTTTACTCTGAGAATCACAATTTGCGACTGTTTTCATTACCGCTGTCATTATTTTTCAGAAAATTCCTCATGATTTCAGTGGATGCATAGCAAAATCTACAAAAGAAAGACTATAAAGACAGTGCAGAGTAAAAATACTTGCATAGAATAAAAGGCTAGGAATAATTAAATATTTTCCAAAAGTGCTAATAAACCTCCTTTAGAATTCAGAAGAAAAAAGTCAGTTTATCATACTTAAACTGAAAGTAGAGACACTGAGAAGCTCCTCAGTGGGTGTTAGTTGTCCTGTCTTCAGTTTTAGGACAGGAGGGATGTTGATAGCAACTAATCTCACCTACTGACAAAAGTGGTAGAATGTTGTTGTTACTTTTGTACCTAACCTGGTAAATCATGTTTAAAAACGCTTATTTCATAAAGGTATTTTGTTTTGGTTTTACGTACGTTAAGGTTAGGTTTCCTCTCACATGGATGTCTACCCTGTAAAACTACTGAAAAAAATACTTTTGGAGAAGTGTACTGTAATTTGTCCTAGTTTAGGTGTCTACTCTAGGATGAGATGAATCATGCCCTAAAAATGTGTATTTTCTCAGTTGTCTGTAAGGGAAGTCTATAGACTTAGCCTAAATGTGGATGTCTACACCGTAAGCTTCTACACTCTGTCAGATGAATCCTCCTACAAATAGCAAAGAACACATAGTTTTTCTTAGTGATTATGTCAATGATCGTCACAGTTAAAGACATATGCATTATTTCTAAATTGAGTTGGCATGACTTTACCTTCCAGCCAATGCTGAATTGGCTAGAGTGATCCCTATTTTTGTTAGCTGCCAGTTTTTCACTTAAAAAAATGTGAAGGTGCCTATCATGCCACAGATTCCCATTAACAAATTTTCCGTGTGCGTAATAATGTCTTAAAGCTGCATCAGGTGCAGTTAAGATTGGATATTAGGGAAAAGTGGTCAAGCAGTGGAACAAGCTCCGAGGAAAGTGGTCACCCCAAGCCTGTCAGTGTTCAAGTGTTTGGACAATGCTCTTAGATACATGGTTTAACTTTTAGGATGTGTGGAGTCAGGAGTTGAACTTGATGACCCTCGTGGGTCCGTTCCAGCTCAGGATTCTATGGTTCTGTGATCTACCTGAAGTTTAAGAAACCCCTAGGTATGTGTAATAGTTACTGTGGACTCAGCTCAGAACCAGTAATAGGACATTTACTGTGTGATACATTTTACAATTAAGCTTTGCTATTAAAATATTTAAATATTCATTAATGTTAGGTACAAAATATACAATGTAGGCTATAAGACATTTGTAAGTGGCTTGACTTCTAAATAGTGAATTGAATTGTACTATAATGTGGTTACTTTGAGCTGGTCCTGTTGATATGGATGGCAAAACAAGTGCAGTATTTTGACTATGTTTTGACCTTAATTCTTATCCGTGATTCAGGTTATCAGGCACAAGTCACATTTCCTGAGTCCTTGCCAAGTGTGTTGAATATACAATGCTGACGCAGCTTTTGTTTTCTTGTATCGAAAAACCTACATTAGTATTTGGAATTTGAAAAGGTTTGAAATCAGAGGGCAGTTATTTCCTTATGTCCAACTTCTGATATCTTTGACAGCTTTCGTGAGTTGCTGTGACTAAACTGTGACTTTATTCTTCAGGATAGTCTAATAGCTATTTTAAAAAAGTAAGACAGTTACTTCACTAAGTCCGAGACAGTTTTTCAAAAAACAGTTCCTAAAAGTAAGGGACTTTCTGATCTCAGGAGTAAGCAACAATGTTCTGTTTTCACCCCCCCAAACCAGGCTGATAAGTCTTGATGAAATCAGAAGAAATTATTCTCAGCCACTTTATATAACAGATGACAGTACAATTATTTGAAGTTCAATTTCAGTTAGTAGGCTAACAATTACAGCACAGCTGTTCTGATTGTGCTTTCTAGTAAGAAGCAAACATGCTAAAGTCTCCTTGGTGTTTGCAGGGGATTTCTTTTCCAGAGGCATATCTTTTTTTTAAGCTCTCTGAGGTCATCGGTGGAAACCATGAGTTCAGAAATTACTGCCAAGGTTTGTGGGGTGTGACTGATATGATGCACACTTAAGAGGCTAATTACTTAGGGGTGACATTTTGTGAATCTCTTTGTGCTGTCCTGGTTGCAGAGATTTCAGCTCCAGGGAAACCTAACTGCAATTATGAAATGTAGTGCTTTTTATTTGACAATTGCGCAATTAGAAGTGGCTGACTTTATGGTTATGGTTTATGGAATATATATATTTTCTAAGTTACTTTGATGGATATGTTTTGTTTTCATCTGAGCACCAAATTCACCAGAATGCAAATGTTTACTTTTCGTACTGCTTGAAATGTTCATCAGTGTGGTAGCAGTGGATATCTTATTGAATAACACTAACAGAGTCTCAGACATAGGCTCAGGTAGTTAGGAACAAAAAACTAAATGGATGAATGAAAAAATAGCATATCACGTAAGTGGGAATTTACGATAAGATTTTCACCTGTAAAGTTCATTAGCAGACAATCAAATGAAGTTTGTTACCTGGGTACATAGTTATAATTTGAAAGTATTAATTGCCATAATCACAGAAATACCTTGTTTGTACAGCCATGTGCACTTCGTGAAAAATCTACCCCTGAGAGCAGTGCTCGAGTGGTCAGTGAACAGTGATGGACCTCAGGATGGTGACCAGGTGTGTGAACCAGGTCTCATTTGTATCCAGATGATGCTCCCACCACTGAGTCAGAGCTCATAGCATGCTGGTGAGAGCACCGTGGTTTGCAGCTGACACGTACTCGGGCATTTGACACTTCCAGCAGAGCCAAAGGCTGCAGAAATACTTAAGCAGAATGGAGATCCAGAGCCTGCACTCCTTATACCTGCGCGGATAGCCTGTGATTTGCAGTGTAATGAAAAAATGTTTTGCAGAAAGAGAGAGCGAGCTGTATTATAGCAGCCTCCACAAATCTTATCATCAATGTTGTAACACAGTCTGATCTTTTCAAAAGAAATATTTGTAACAGAAAATGGGCTGATGGTTCTCCTGCGAGTGATGGAGAAAGCTTCAGGTCCATGTATGTTTTTTTTTTACCTCAGTTCTATTTGAGGCAAAATCCCATTACTTTAGCATGAGCTGAGGTCTTAGTACAAATGAAGGACTTTTGCATGTGGAATCGGGTGTACATGTATATCATTTCAGCAAAACACTTTTTAGTCCAGAAGCACTCGTTTGATTTAGGTTCTATATGACTAATTATACATGG